AATCCTGCTAGTCCCGGCGAGGCGCGTCACAGCATCCGGCTCCCAGACTCAGACAGAGCGGAGACAACAGCGGAGACAACAGTTTAAATTGAGATTATGAAGGGAGACAAATCCGGCTAGTCCCCGGCGAGGCGTGTCACAGCATCCGGCTCCCAGACTCAGACAGAGCAGAGACAGCAGGTTAAATTGAGATTATGACGGGACACAAATCCGGCTAGTCCCCGGTGAGGCGCGTCACTATCCCTTTCTTTGCACAAATTGAGAACCCCAATACTTCGCTGTTTGGGGAAATATTTGATCTACATTTTGTGCAAAAAAAACTTGCGAGATATTGTACAAAACTCTTGAAAACTTATGTTTGCTTGAATATTGCTTGTAAGACTTTAGATGAGATGCTCACATAAACAAGGATTCATGCATGTTGGATTGTGAGTTGCTTCGCCTGTACATAACCGTGTGAATCATGTCTATGTTGTTGTAGGTCGTCTGTTGAAGATTTGTTGATTAGTTTCTAGTCTGAATATGGTCGAATTTATTGTCAATAACAGTGCATATTCTTCTAGTCTAGGGCGTATTCAATTTTCAATTCTCTAGCTTCGTCCCAAAATGCGAAAGAATGTACTTGAAATTGCCTTCATCGTCTGCGATGTTAATTTTACCGCGTCAGGTTATCATGACGAATTAAGCACACCATACTTGAAATGTTGAATCGAAAACGTAGAGTTGACCGCAGGAAGAAGAATGTATGAGGCGTATGGCGAAGTAGAAAGTGGACCGAGGCCATCCCTAGTTGTGTCCGAGGTTCGAACTTGAAAGGCTCAAATAAGGCTAAGAGTAGAGAGTTTCACCCCGCTCGAAACATGGGTTTTCCATGAACCTGCAAAACTTGAATGGACAGCAATCTTTCACAGCCGCAAGTTAAGTCCCGAACTATAAGGTTCAGGCGGTTGGGGTTGAAAGCCACCGGCTTGTTTTAGATTCCACCTGGTATGACTAGGGTTCTAGGAGTTAGGCTGATAGGATGTAGCACTTTGGGGTGTAAGGGAACGATCGGATTTGGAACGGTTCAGAAATCCAGGCCACTTCAATCGTACAATGCTACGCTACAACAGCAAATGCAAACATTTTTCCGGGCCACCCCGCCTGTTCCATCTCCTTGACAGGTATAGTCACCAAGTTGGGGTACTGCAGTATTGTCCTTCTTTCTGCACGTGCACAGGAAGCAAACAGAGCAAGTTTAATGATTCAAAATCACGTGCATCATAAGCTAAAGTAAAAGAAAGACGCATGAAACATCTTAAACCCAATACCAAAAGCCCCACATCCCAAAGCCGGGAGCCCAAACCTCGAAAGACCCTAGCCCAAAACTTAAGCCCCCAACAAAAACAACCAAAGTTTCCCCGTGGGCGCGATGGTTCGCTGGACGAGCTCTGGCACGCACTCCACTGGCACCTTTGACAATTGAAACCGGGTTACAAACTCTTGGGCTTCGGGCTTCTGCTTTTACTGCAAAGCTTTTCTACGTGTTTTGCGCGATTTTACTGCCGATACGATGCATGTACAACATCGATCGGTGTGTAATGACGGGCTGATTAGTTCTGCTTCATGTCGTGTTTCTACTCGGGGTTTGGTCCATCATCTGTTATTGAAGCATTGGGTTTAAGACCCAATATCTCCCACTAGAATTTGGGGATTCTGGGACTGAATCACCTGTCTCGAGCAGTGGGGTTCGCCATCCATCGCTCCCTTGGCGACCCGTCACATGAATCAGAAATGTCAGACTCGGGGGCGTCAGGGCTTCGTTTGTGGGTCCCTTTGGGAAACACAGGATCCCTGAAGGAATTAGCACATCATCGTATTTGCTTGGGAAACATGCATTCCCTTTAATGTGACTTTTTGCTCACAACCATGTTGCTTTCAGGTGTTGAATTTACCACCCACTATACCCTGTGAGGGTTCGGGGTTAAGGGGTAACAGGCCTTCTTCTTAGGGTTCGGGGTTTGGTAACTTTTCAATCCTAAAGTTTCTGCAGCATCCTGCGTCTGCATTGTGCACGAACCCGTTTTCGTTCTTGAGCTATTACTAATGCACCAAGGCAATAAAAACACTCCCCGCGCACTGGAACGCAGCGGAAAAAGCGTTTTCACAAACGACTACACTACTGGCTGAATGTCTGCGATCATTCACTCAAGTTTGCGAAGGCGCTTGATTCGATGAAACCTTGAACACCGGGGATAAAGCCTTGGACTGGTGGAAAACTCTTCTAACCGTCGAACTGGTGGGGCGCCCCTGATGTTTAAGTCAAAACTCTTACAAACCCTGAATTCGAGGATAGCGCCTTGGACTGATGGGGCACCCCTGATTTCTATATCAGAACTCTAAGGAACCTTGAACTCCGAGGATGGAGCCATAAACTGATGGGGCGCACCTGACGTTTAAATCAGAACTCTTACAAAGCTTGAAGTCCGAGGTTGGAGTCTGGACTGATGGGCTTTCCGCGCCCAATGCGGACTCTAATGAGGACGCCTAAGGTACTTCTGACCGAGGATACAGATTGAGCCATTTCCATACGTGCTCTTCCCCTCAATATGGAGCACGTATGGAGATGGAGTTGGGGGGTGGGTTAGTTTGGTCCTGTTGGCCAAACAACCAATGGACTGTTGCGCGCACACTATCTCACAATCCGAACTCCTACACAGCTGGATCTCCCAGGATGGAGCCCAGGATGGAGCCTTTGGACTGATGGAAGGCCAATGCTTTTTAACATCAGATCTCTTGCCAAACCCATGCTCCGTCAAATATCATGCGAATCATGCATGTGAACCTGGATTCGCATTCTGTTCGTGGCCGTTATGTCGTGAAAGCCGCTTCAAGCTTCGCAATGCGTCTGTGCCTGCTTGGGCCGTAGCCTCTCAATGTGTCTTCTGAAGCCGCCTTCGCTACCCCAGTGCGTCTTCGCAATGCGTCTGCGCCACCTGATGCGTCTGCGCCTTCCAACGCGTCTGCACCTATCAGGCCCTTTTTGACGAACGCGTCTTCGCAATGCGGATGCGTCTTCAGGTCGTTTACCACGCTCCGACAGGACGCCGCAATGTGTGTGTATATATATATATATATATATGACTAGCCCGCAAAGAAAAAAACAGTTAACGGTCAAACCACCGCGAGCTTGCATTTGGGGTTTGCAGTTTGGGATGTGGATAGATTATTATACCTCCCCCAACCCTAGCCATGGCATAAACTCGAAACCCTCAGCTCTATTCTTCGTCACGTCAGAGCCAAGTACACGCCCAAGTGTAGGGTTGGGGTTCATTGCATTCAGGACGGGGTTTGGGTTGGTAGGGGTTCGGGGTTTGGACATGCTGCGCCCTCAACCCCGACCCGTAGGGGTTCAAGGATAGCCTCGGTATAGTTGGATGCCGCCCGTTTGTGCTCGCACTTTTCGAAGAGAGTCCACTGCGGACACATAGCGAGGTCCTGGTTGCGACTTTAGGGTTTCGGGCTTGCGACTCTCACTCTCGCGTGTTGAAGGCTTGGGGCTTATGATTTCAAAACAGGTTTCGAGGTTGTTTGTTTCAGAAAATGGCGGACCCCAACATGGACCTAAGCTTTCACGAACATTATTGTAAGGCCCCTGAATAAAGTGTCCCTAGTCTAGGGAAACCGAGAGCCTGGAAACAAGGCAACTGCAAGTCCTGAGATATGTATATTTGGTTTGGGGACCCTGACCTTTGAAAAACAAGAGGCCCCAAAATGTTGAACTGCATACATAGTCCATGGCGAGATTTCGATCCCTAAGACGAGTATCACATACTCGCGCCTGTATGGCTAAAGAAGATTTATCAGCTCATGAAATTTATGGTTTGGGATGTGAAGTTTGGGCTTGGGCTTCAGGAAGTTCTGCGTTGGGGACCTCGGATGTTCTGGGAATCTTGCGGGTGGATTTTCGGGATCGGGGCTGTATGGCTCCGCTTAATCCGAGCGCAGCAAAATATGTACATGTCGACTCGGCAGCAGCAAATAGAAAGTCCTCAGCCTCTAGGCCTCACTGGCTGTTTCTTCCAGGGGCCCTTGAGCAAGGGATGTTGGAATCTCTGTGAACATTGTGCAGATATTCCTTAGTTCCCAAACCTCATGCCCTACACACTGAGAGCTCCAACCTCTTCAGCTCTTGATTAAACCCCGAACCGTCGCTGTTTTTGAGAGCGACGGGCTCTCGCGGAACAAGGCTAGACAAAAAAAGACTGTCTCCAAGCGAGCTCTCTGGAATTTGGGTTGCGTCGTCCGCTCCGCACAATTGCATTGAAAGCCCGGCCGTAGCGGATTGGCCACCGGTGTTCGAATCTCACACTCGCGGTTTAGGGGTTTGGGATTCTTTTGCCTCGCGCCCAACTAGGACAAGCCCGCATTGCAGGGTTAGGGCTCAAGGTTACCACCCCGCAGATGTCCTCGATTCTCCCTGGTACGCTTGCCCGCCCCCTACGTGCCGCCAAACCAATCCTGGTGTTTGTTTTCGCTACTTTTTATGTCTCAGCAAACTACTTGTTTTGCCGGCTTGTGCATGTGCGCAGACCGATGCTACGCTTTCGGACTTGCACAAAACCCGAAAGGTCCCCATGCCAGGGTTGCTGAGTGCGGAAACCTTGTCAACTTGTAGATGCTTCTGTATGCTTCAATTATTTTGCAATTGGTGAGGCATCACGCTGAATATATTCTTCAATAAGTTGAAGCTTGTTTCTGGGCACAACTGTATGAGCAGTAACGACAAGCAATTGCATTTTCGCGGGTAGCTCAGTGGTGGTCCCCACAAACCCATCTACCCAGACGTATTCGAACGCTTCCGTGCACAGCGGTTCGCTGCCGAATCGGCATAAAGCTTAATTTGAGTTGTTTTACTTCGGAAAACGAGGGAAACAGTAGGACCAGTGGTATTGAAAAAACGCTTTCCTTGTGTGTTGTTTGGGGGAACTCGAAAAAGACAAGCGATGGGACTCCTCATAAGCCGTGTTTCGCTAGCAAACCCACCACTTGCATGTGTCCTGGAGTACCCCGAACCGTACATATGTCTTGAGACGCACACGTCCATGCGCTGACTTTCGAAAACATGCAACCTGACTGGAGACTTCTAGCAATCAGAGTGCAAGATGATGAGCCCTCCCTTACGCAGGCAGCAGGACTGCTCACCACTAGTGCACTAGTGCTCGGACTGCCGGGGTGCTCCTTCCAGCTCTCACGGCGGCTTCCAAACGAGTATATACAGTCTGGGGTCTGGAGGTGAGCCATGTGTTCCTTTGCCGTTCCTTCCGACTGCTTTGCACGCTGTTGTAGCTGCAATGTAGGCTCTAATGAAATGACACAACAAGCAGAACACCAACTTTCATCGTTGCTGAGTTTACTCATGTGTTCGTGCTATTTCATGAAAGCCCCTCTCCCAAACGTTGCCCCACCTGATAAAACCACTGGCAGCCACCTGAAATGCTGCGACGATTCTCTGAGACATGCTTCAGAAAAGCGCATGAAATGCTGTAACAACCTCGGGACCCACAAGGAGCCCGCCTGACATGCGGCAAAAACCAAAGGGTTTGATTGAAATGCTACAAAGGCTAACGGAGCTCATTGAGACACCGCGTGCGTTTGATAAACATATATAAACGTGGGGGAGGGTGGGGGAGGCTGAGTGAAGGCATGGTTTCTGGCTGTGGGTTCGCTTAAGCGTCAGCGAAGCATTGCCTCGTGTCTCCTATTGATTTGCACAATACGAGAACAATCCTTACACGAGGTCTATCGGAGAACTGCGCAAACCCTTCGGAAGGTTTCTTATATCGAAACCACCACACTGTTTCGAAAGGTCTCACGCTTTTTCTAGAATCTAGAAGAGCAATAGCAGCGAGGAGTATCCGGCCTTAGATGTAGAGTCTGTAGAGCATCAGGAATGGTACTAAGGGAGTGGCCGGTAATGGGAGAGCTATCCCTCGGCAATGAAAGTTACCACCCAAGACTCTACACCCAAAGTCCCAGCACCCTAAACCCAACATGCTGCACACAAGGGCCCACGAGTCGCACCTGCTTGCATGAATTCGGCCTCCAGAACTCTGCCGTTCCGAGATGGTGGACAAGGATCAAATAGATCTGAAGGCTTTAGGTTTTACGAGGGTTCAAAGGGTTCTACAGCTTGCCAAGTTCAGGGATGCTCAAGGTTTCGCATCTGTGCAGGTATATAATACATTGACATATTTTGACACAATATACTTATTTGCCAATATGTATACAGGCATGTACAAGTACGCACAATCTACCGTCAGAGGTTTCATGTCGAATCTGTGTGCGAGAGTTTGGGCTTCGTGTAGGTGTGAGCTTGCAAGGTTTATGGTTCAATGCTTGGCACAGCAGTATCCTTAGTCTTCGCATATCCACCGGTTAGGCCTACTCTACCAGCTTATGGCGTGGTCTTCAGGGAAATCCTAGACCCTAACCGAAGCCCTTATCGCACTTATTCATACTCCTGCTTGCAGAGTTCACTAGCCCAAAGGTTACTTACTCGACGACTTAGCCATGTAGAACTCTGAAAAAACTTGCTAAATCCCTGTAACACCCTGAAAAACCCTTAATTCCCGAGCCACGCCTGCAGCCCTCGGAACCATGGCAGCGTCCACATGCTGGCCCGAGGCTATGCTCTTAGGAACTCATGGCTTTAAGGCTCCTGTCGTTTCGGTTTCGGCTTAAAGTCGTTAAGGTTTAGGGCTTATAGGGCTTATGGCTTTATATTGGGGGCTTCAAGCTTGTGGGCTTTCAGCGTGTGGTGGTTTGCAGGTCTGCGGCTGAAACCCACTCAGGGTGCGCTGCGGGGCTTCGAAATGCTTGGGTGTACGGCTGGGGGATTTGGATAATGAGCTCAGTAATCAGTACCAGTGAAGGAGCAGCGGCGTCAAGACTAGACCAGATTCCACTCCTATATGACTATATGTCTGACACCGTCTAAGCCCAACTCGGTTTTGAGTGGTGCTCATATGACTTTGCTATGCCAGCATGCCCCCTTGAAGGTCTTCTTTAAACTACATGTAACTTGGTAAGAAGCTAACTAAGCATCACATCAAGCCGATACACCTAGAAGCAGACTTTACATCATCAGAAGCTAGATGACAGAACCACGGGTAAATTTGATGAAGCTTTTGAAGGACCCCCAAGACATGCGAAGCGAATGATCCTTGAGGCGCGTATCATGCGGGGGTTCATCGCCACCCTCGGCCCGAGTCTGCCATGGAATTTGTTCTCATCCGCCCTCTAGTATTCTTCAGTCTTGCTACGGCTACGGTGTCTCTTCTGATACTCCTGTGCTTGGTAGATGCGCTAAGCCATCAACATCATCTTGCCTGTCATCTGCACATCCGTCTTCATTTTGATCTTCATCAGCAAACACACTCTTCAGATCCTTTCAGCTTATTCACACTCACCGTCACCATCCCACAATCATCAGCAACAAATTCAACACGACACGTGTCAGCAACAACAGCATGTAACAGCAACATGTCCAGTGTGCTGCTGCAGCAGCACCAGCACCAGCATCAGCACCCCAGCTCCACCACCGTCGCGGCAGCAACAGCAGCAGCAACAGCAACGACAACGACGGCAACGGCAGCGGCAGCCGCCTCAGCAGCAGCAGCAGCAGCAGACAGCAAACAGCAGACAGCAGACAACAGACAACAAACAACACACGGCAGACAACAAACAATAAGCAACCACCACCACCACCACCACCACCACCGCGGCCGCAGCAGCAGCCGCAGCCACAGCCACAACAGCGACACCCACGGCAACTACAACGCCAGCGGACCACCGCAGCCTCCAACCCTTTATGTCGCAGAAACAGACAAGGTCATTCCCGGGTCATTCCCGCTGAGTGGATCCCCGACACGGCGGCAAGGGGCACCCCATAGCACAGTGGGAGACAACCATACTGAAGGCATCCCAAAACAATTCGCAAAACGACTTCGACTTGGCTCAAGAGAGAGATTCGTCAAATGGGCCGTCGCCGGGGAAAGTCGCAGTCAGGAGTCCGCCCTTTTGTGACTTTGGGCCACACCTGCCCTTGGATTTGAAGGACAACAGCAAATGAAGCAGCGTTTAGGTTTAGGCAAAACGGGCACAGTAGTGGAATACTCAACACGGCCAGCTCAGCGCCCTCTCATCTGCACTGAGGCTCTTAGGAACAAGGAATCAGCTCCGAGAGGAGACCCCCCAATTGAATCTGCAGGTCCTCATGTAGTCTGGCAGGAAAGCCTTCAAGGTGTCAGCTGCCCCACTTCCGCTCCTCGCATGCAAAGTCTAATCGAGGCTCAGCCTCGGGCTCAGGCAGGATTCGGCTTGATAGAGAGATATCGCCACACAAACAAGACCAGCTAGACTCAAACAGCGGCAAGCCCATGGTTGGTCTCGACCTTGGCAGCATTGAAATCCAAAACTCTGCATAGATAAAGACAGCTGAGGTTCTTTGAGCGCTTCTCGGACACTTTGTAGGACTTTGCCCGGTCCTGGCAATCATTGCGTTTGGTGAACTGGTTCCTACATCTCCTCCTGCTGCTTCCATTTCACTGCGGGAAATGTATATGGAACTTTTGAGGCCTGTCGATCAGACGTTGTAGGAAGGAGGAAGCGCGGCTTTGCCGCGTCCGGGTCGTGTGTTTCATGTGGCGGCATTCTCGGGCGGATGTGCTCAAGAATGGCCGGTGTCGAACAGATCTGAATGGAATCTACAGCGAATCTGGGTATTGCCGCGGCTTTCGACCCGCGGCAGGGCGAGAGCGTTAGCAACAGCATTCGCGGCAAAAGTTGTGCTGACTACCGTTATGTTTTGCCTTCTGCATTGCTTGGTCGGATCTCTGGCCGAGGCTTGTTGACTTAACCGTCTGTTGAGCCCCATGGTGCCTTTTTGCGAGCTGATGCTTGTGGATTGGCGGCTGGGTTTGCAGCTTTGCGGCACCGGATGCAGCCCAGACGGGGCCGGCCCGGGCCTGAAGGTGCTATCAGCAAAAAAGCGCTGTCAGAGTCGGGCTACTGCTGAAACCCAGACAACCAGATTACAAGTGCTGGCCCTCCGAAAGGTCTCTCAAGCGTCCTTGGCTTGTTCGGCCACTTCCTGCATCCGGCAGGTTGCAGGACAATGTCACTAGGATAGACAGGAAGGTCTCTGAATCCGTGCGGTGACAATGAGATGAAAGAAGGTAGGCAAGCAGACAAACAGACAGGTAGCAGTACAGGTAAACAAAGCAATAAGGGCACATAGTATATCGGGGCTCAGAAAGACCGACCGGCTGACCGACAGACATGTCTACAAGCTTTTGCTCAGGAGGCAAGCCATGAAATGCTTGCCTTAAATCACAAATTCTGCCAGTAACAGCGATCCGAGCATTAACGGGCAAGCCTCGGACACATGTACCAGAAAACACAAACAGGTAAACACTGTGCCAACCGCAAGCAATCCCACCAGCAAGAGCGAGAGACAGAGGAGAGGATGATAGAGGAGAGGGAGGCACGTATGCATGCGTGTGAATGTTTGCATTCATATATGTATACGCATGTGTAAATGCACCACCCCGCGGGGCCCGCTCGAGAAGGTCTCATCGTGTCGACATTGCAGAGGTGCGTGAGGACTGCAGTGTTTACAAGTCCGGCAAGTGGCAGCAGAATCATCTGCACCGGACTGCGCGTCTGCAGAGCCCGCAGGAACGTAGGACGGGAACTGCCCTCCAGACCCAGCAAGTGGTGGGCGGGGGCAGGGGTTTGTGCACCTTGAACCTGGTCGTTTTGGCAGCTGGAACCATGGGTTTGATGCCAACCTCGAGAACCAGCTGTCAAATAGACCGGGGTTGCGTTTCCAAAGGAGAATTCATTGGGAAGGCCTCGGATTTAAGTTATGTAATTCTTGTCTCCTTGGAGGAGACAAACCGCATGGTTTGGTCCCTAAGATTTTTGGTTTACCTTCTTCTTCAATAGATAAGGACGTAAAACCAAACAATGCTAGGGACCAGGGCTTTGGTTTGTCCCTCTGAGGAAAACTTAGACCAACAATCTTAGGGACCCGGGCCGCGGTTGGTTTGTCTCTTTAAGTCTTTGGAGAGCCCGGACCAGAGCAGGGTGGCAAAGCAACCCAGGATGAGGGGGATACTCCCTGCACCAAAAAAAAGATGTGGGAGACACTCCGCCAGAAAAGATCAAGGGATGAGGGGGGCACTCCTTGTGATTGAAGGTCAACAGCGCCTTAAAAGGATGATGGGGACACTCCTTGCGATTCAAAGTTTTCCAGAGCACCATCGCCAGAAAACATGAGTGGGACAATCCTTGCGATGGAAGGTTTTCTACAGCATCATCGCCAGACATGAAGGTACAGAAGGGAGGAGGGGGGTACTCCCTGCGATTGAAAGCTTTATCTTCAGAGCACCCTCACACAAAGAGACAAATTGCGAACCTACGCTGCAGATGTTGGGTTTAGGTTCTCCTCCAAAGAGACCAGTCACAAGCCTTGGTCCCTCAGGTTTTTGGTATAAGTTCTCCCCCAATGGAGCCGGTCTTAAATTCCAAAATCTTGGGGACCAGGGCTTGCGATTTGACCCTCAGGAGGAAAACTTGGACCCAAAATCTTAAGGACCAGAATTCACGAAGGGTCTCTTTGAAGAACCCGGAGCAGAGCAGGCGGGGGAAGGCAAAGCGGCGCCAGGGCGACACTCCTTGCACTTGGAGGTTTTCCAGGACATCATAACTATCATCACCAAATAAATAAGAGTGACAATCCTTGCGACTCAAGGTGTTCTAAAGAATCATCGCCAGAAAAGGTGAAGAGATGATGGGGACACTCCTTGCGAGTGAAGGCTTCCTGGAGCATCATCGCCAGAAGAGATGAAGGGATGAGCGGGGCACTCCTGGAAATTGAAGGTTTTCCAAACGCCCTATCCGAACGAGACAAATTGCAAACCTAGTCTTTCTTATTAAGATTTGGGCTTTAAGTTCTTCTTCAAGGAGACAACTCGCAAGGCTTGGTCCCTAAGACTGTTGGTATAAGTTCTTCTTCTAAGGACGTAAAACCAAACAATGATCGGGACCAGGGCTTGCGGTTGGTCTCTTTAGAGGAAAGCTTAGACTAAACATATTAGGGACCCGGGCCTGCGGTTTCTTCTTCCTGCTTTTCGGATGCACTTCTATGCGATGCGTCCGAATCCTGACGTGCTGCTTGCGTGAGCGAAGCACGTGAGTGTGCGCAACGACAACCTTGCATGTCAATATCATCGAATCAACTGTGTGGATCCACCGTTGCCGCTTCTGCGAAAACTCTTGAATGCTCCAAGGTCATGTTGGCATAAATTCCGTCTCAACCATGGCTTTTTGGTTGTGCCCATGCACTTCCCAGTGATGTTCCTTTGCTTTCTGTTTGCGTATGCCGACGGAAGCAGTCGGTCCTTCCACATGCTCGAACAAGTTTTTGGATAAGAGATACGAAAAACCCGAAGTCGACTTCGAAAGAAAATCGAATGTGGAGGCCTTGCCACCATTGCGGCGGCGGTTGAATAGAGGCTTGCATGCATCGGAGACGGGCGAGCAAATGATGACCGTCATGTCGTTTCTAGCAAGATTCATCCATATCCGACAAGAACAACGTCGTTTCCA